TGGTGGGGGGGGGGGGGGGGGATGGTGGTGGAGAGCTGGCTGTGGGTGCAGGGTGCTCCCAAGCACTGCAGTCCCAGGCGCTCCCAGCAGGGGGCGCTGTAGAGGACGGCGTAGGCGTGAGGGGGCGGGTGTGGTGGTGGGAGCGCCCCGCTGCTCCTGCTCCAGACTCACGCTGCAAACATCCCTCCCTCCTGAGCACAAAGCCCAGTTCCATCAGCCTCTCCCAGCCTCCTGCGCATGGAGATGATGCGCCGAGGTCCCCAGGGGGAAGGGCTGAGTGTGGCTCTGAACATGGGCAGCTGGTCCCTACGGGCCATCTCTTTCTCTCTCCCTCCCTCTCCTCCGGCGGTAGGATGGCGTTCCTCCCTGGGCCCTGATGGGCCAGGAATCCGGCCAGGACCTGCATGCCCCCAGCAGGGGCACAGTCAGAGTTAGACTGCCTGCACCCTGGGCTACAGGCTCCCTGACTTTATGGGGAAGAGTCCCTTGCTAAAATTTTTCCTTGGTGTCCTGTGTCCCCCCTGGCCAGCTCTGCGCCCTCCCCTGCCCCTCTGAGTGTCTGACTTTCAGCCTTTCCTCTCTTTGCAGATCCCTGTGTGTGTGTGCTGGTTCAGAGGAGCCCTCACCAGCTGACTCCCCAGCTGCCAAGATGCCTGTGGCTGCCACCAGCTCCGACTTGGGTAAGAAATGCCCCGTCCGGGCTGGAATTGGGAAATGTCACCCATCCTCTGCATGGCTTTGGGGGCACAAGGCACCCTCAGTCTGTGCCCATGCCTCTTGGGTAGCTGCCCACTGGAGACTGTCCAGGCTGCCAAGTTTGCACTCAGAGGAGCTCTTGGATGTGAGAATCAGCTGGTTTGACCAATCCCGTCCCTATGGCCTAAATCAATGGAGATTGCCTGTCTCCTAGAGCTGGAAGGGACCTTGAAGGGTCATGGAGTCCAGTTCCCTGCCTTCACAGCAGGACCAAGTACCATCCCTGACAAACTTTTGCCCCAAGTGGCCTCTGCAAGGATTGAACTCACAATCCTGGGTTTAGCAGGCTACTGAGCTACCCCTCCTCCTAGAACTGCGGTGTCCATCCAGTTTTGAAGCAAGTGGCAACTGCTATAGCGAACTAGCCACACTCAACTGGCCAAATAGCCACATGTGGCTAGTGGCTGGCGTGCTGGACACCACGGTGCTAGAAGGAGGCAGAGCTGTGAGATTGCCCCGTAACAGAGCACCAGTTCCCTTGGTCTTTCACCGCCTTGTCCCTTGGATTGGCTGGCTGGCTTGGCGGGCGCATGGCTAATGAGCGGGGAGATGGGAAAGGACCCCCGGAGCTTTGTAAGCCCGTTGGATGGGGCTGGCCTTGCGCCTGAGAGCTCGTTTGCTCCTTGCCCCGGAGGAGTAGCTGGTGGGGAACGGAGGGGACAAGAGCCCAAGTACGAGGAGGGCTCAGTGGTTAGCGCTCTGACCTGAGAGACAGGAGCCTTGTGTCTCTGCTACAGACTCTGCGTGGCCTTGGGCTAGTCACGTAGGGCCAGATTTGTAAAGGACTGTCGGTGCCTAACAGCGACTGGCGAACCTTTCAGAGTCCTGGCCAGCTCTGTCTCCGCTCCCCTTGTGGAAGGGGCTAGGAGGATAATCCCCCAGGGATGCTGAGGCAGTGAGAGGCCGCGGGAAACTAACGACCTGACTTCCGCACTGGGAGCGGTGGGGTTGGGCCATTCAGACGGGGGGGGCCTGGCTTGGAGTGTGGGCAGGGTGCCCGGCCGTGCTGAATGCTCCCCCATGAGGTGACGTGGATGGGCTGGAGGGCTGGGTCAGGAACGTGTCCACGGTAGGGGGTGAGGGGCCCTGAGCCCCGCTGCCTCCCCTTAAAGGGGTAGGGGGATGCGGCTGGCAGGAGCTGGCAGGTTTTGGCTGAGAGATGGAGGCTGGATCTGTAGGGGCCCTGGCTTCCCTGTCATCTGGGCAGGCAAAGATCACTCCCCTCCACCCGCTCCCTAGGAGGCTGGTACTGACCGACAGCAGGGCCTGCTCTCTGGTGTCTATGGCAACGCAGCTCATTAGCTTGCAGAAATTAACGAGGTTCTGGGCTGTGCGGTACAGAGCCATCTCCCGGGCTGGAGAGTGTTACCGCCCGGGCGGGGGGCAGAAGGGGCCCAAGGGAGGGGCAACGAGATGGGGAGTGGGGAAAGGCTTGGGGTGAGTAACAGGGACCGGGGGATGGGCAGTTGGAGGGAGGATGTGCATGTGGGGCTGCCCCACAGTCCAATCCCCCCCCACAGGCCGCCACACACGCTGCGCCCTGGAATGTGGGAATGGGAACAGTCTCCCCTTCTGGACTGGCTGCACCCCTGGCTCTGGGTGGCGTCTTCCCCCTCCCAGGCTTGCTGCCTGGGAAATGCAAAGGGGCGTGCACGCGTGTGTGTGCACAGTGTGTGTGCACAGTGTGAGTGTGTGCACAGTGTGTGTGCGTGCGTGTGTGCATGTGTGCACAATGTTCATGTGTGCGTGTGTGTGCGCGTGTGTGCAAAGCTTCTGCTCCTACCTGCCCACCTCCGAGCTGTTTACCATGTAATTAAACCTCTTCTTTGTAGCTGGGGATGACACTGCAGGGCGGGCAGGAGTCCTGGGGCTGGGCTCTAAGCTAGTCAATGGCACCTGGCCCATGGCCTGGACATGTGGCTTGGGGAACAGGTGGGCACATGTGCGTGTGTGTGCGCGTGTGTGCAAAGCTTCTGCTCCTACCTGCCCACCTCCGAGCTGTTTACCATGTAATTAAACCTCTTCTTTGTAGCTGGGGATGACACTGCAGGGCGGGCAGGAGTCCTGGGGCTGGGCTCTAAGCTAGTCAATGGCACCTGGCCCATGGCCTGGACATGTGGCTTGGGGAACAGGTGGGCACATGCTTGCGAGCGCACGGCTGCGCGCCTGAGCCGGGGCGGTGGTGGTGCGAGCGCACGGCTGCGCGCCTGAGCCGGGGCGGTGGTGGTGCGAGCG